GACGCTTTACAAAAAGTTTGTGGGGACAATGCCCCAAAGAAATCAACATTTTACAAACGGATAACTCATTTTAAGAAGGGACAAGATGGGGCAGGCCCGGTGGCCCACTGGAGAGTGCGCCGCTTGGGAGCGCAGCGGCGCTCCTGCCGAGGGTTCGGATCCCATGTGGAGACCGGTTCCCACTCACTGGCTGAGCGAGGTGTGGGCGCAACACCGAGGGTTGCGATCCCGTTACCGGTCAGTAAAAAAGACAAAAAGAAAAAAAAAAAAAAGAAGAAGGGACAAGATGACGTTGAAGATGGCGCCCATAGGGGCAGAACATCCACATCAATTTGTGAGGAAAAACTTAATCTTGTTCATTGCCCTAATTGAAGACGACTGACAATTAGTAGCAGAGATATAAGCCAACACCACAGACATCTCAGTTGGTTCAGCTTACACAATTCTGACTGGGAAATTACAGTTGAGCAAACTTTCCACTCCATGGGTGCCCAAACTGTTGTGCCCGGATCAGCTGCAGACAAGAGCAGAGCTTTCAATGGAAATTTTAAACAAATGATATCAAGACCCTGAAGCAATTCTTTGAAGAATTGTAAGAGGAGATGAAACATGGCTTTACCGGTACGATCCTGCAGACAAAGCACAATCAAAGCCGTGGCTACCAAGAGGTGGAAGTGGTCCAGTCAAGCAAAAGCAGACTGGTCAAGAGCAAAGGTCACGGCAATGATTTTTTGGGATGTTCAAGGCATTTTGCTTGTTGACTTTCTGGAGGGTCAAAGAGTGATAACATCTATTTATTAAGAGAGTGTTCGGAGAAAGTTAGCCAAAACTTTAGCAGAAAAATGCCCAGAAAACCTTCACCAGAGAGTCCTTTTCCACCACAACAATGCTCCTCTCATCAACGTGCAATTTCGTAAGAGTTCTGATTGGAAATCATTAGGCAACTTACAGTCCTAACTTGGCTCCTTCTTACTAATTTTGTTTCCTAATCTTAAAAAATCTTTAAGGGGCACCCATTTTTCTTCAGTCAAAAATGTAAAAAAGACTGCATTGACATGTTTAGGACCCTCAGTTCTTTAGGGATGAATAAATAATAGTATAGCTCACAAAAGTGCCCTGAACTGGGTGCAGGTTATGTTGAGAAATAAAGTTTATATTCTTGATTTTTATCTTTTAATTCCACTTTCCACAAACTTTTTGAAGTACCCTTGTGTATACACATAAATATTTCCAAAGATTGCTTTTATGTAGGGAGGAGCATTAGAGAGAAAATGCAGCTTAGCCATTTTCTCCTTGGGACCTGAAAAGGTTTTCTCATTTCTTTGGATTTCCATGGCTTATAGTCATTTGTGAATTGATAGTTCAGACCATTACATATTAAAATTAATATCCATAATCCACAAATTACATGGATGAGGTTCTGAATCAAATGAATTTTGAGATTTTGCTGTTTGAATCTCTGACTGGGGGGGCTGGTGTCTCATGCCTTTGCTGGGACCTCAGGGGGTTAATGCTTGCTCAGAACCACCTTCAGCCAGCCAGCCTTCAGATCAATCTACGGTTGCTGTAGCTCGTTGTCTGGCCACATGCAAAGTTTCAAATTCTAACTTCTTTCACACGCTGAACTGAGAGAACACTGTGAAATAAATGCCTATTATTAGAAAATATATTTCACGTGCTAGAGGAAAAAGCCTGTTTCTTTTAACAAGGCCTTTTCCTTAGGAAGGGAGGTGAATTGGGGATCTTAAGAGAAAATTGACATCAGCAAGGAGGTCAGCTGAGGAAATCTTACAAAGAAGATCAAATTACAGGGCATATCATGACCTGATTTATCCTCTCATGTTCTACATTCAACTATGAAATCATTTCAAAGAGAGAAAAGAAAAAAAAAAAATCAGATTTATGAACAAGAAAAATGTGCAGAACTCGCAGCGCCCTCTGGTGTTCATTCTGACACATAGGCAGAAACGCAAAAGCCTCAGAAAATTCGACAGTATCCATTTTTCTGACTTAAAATAAAATTACAGAAACTAAAAATGGAAAAAAACCCCACCTCTCTTTCCAGTAATTTAAAGTTTCTTGTTAATTCCATATTGAAAAACCACAATGATAGATGGGATTTACAAATATTCACCTCTGAAAGGAAATGCATTGATTTTCTCTGATCTTGACTCATAATGGTATTATTGTATGTAAAAAATAGGCCTTGTGATCTTAAACGATGTTTGAAAATGATGAGCAGCAATGTGGCTATAGAGATGGAATAAAACTGATTCTAGTTCACTTAACTTCACCGAGGACAGCTCTGGGGTTCTGGCTCCTCCTTGCAAAACACTTCATACAGGTGCTGCCCAGAGGACCATAGGCCTTTTGTGACTATTGATCATTTTCTACATCTGTCGTGTTTGTTAGCATGGTCAAAAGGCAACACAGAGCCCCCGACAGTGGCTGTGAAACATGAAGTAGGTGAGAAACTTGGATATTATTGTCTAACTTTTCTGATTGGTGTGATCTTATTGAAGGATGAGCATACTTTACCTGAAATTCTTGGGACCAGAAGTGTCTCAGGTTTCTGATTTTTTGAATTGTGGAATATTTCGCACACACATAATGAGATATTTGGGTATGGGATCCAAGTCTATCACAGCTGAGGGGAGCTGGGAAGGTGTTCTTTTTTGGGAGGACACTGAATATATAAACTGGGTGTCATGGACCTGCATCTTGACTGTGACTTGTCACTTGAGGTCTGGTGTAGACTTTTCTACTGTGGCGTCATGTCAGAGCTCAAAAAGTTTCAGATTTTGGGGCATTCTGGGTTTCAAATTTCTGGATTAGGGATGCTCAACCTGCACTGTCACTTCTAAAAGGGCTGTGTTAAGAAGGTACTGGGTACTCGAATCTTGCTGCTCTGTGCATGAAGAGACAGTGGAAATCTCTGGAAAAATAATTTCTGCTCCATTTTACAGACTGTTTGATAATGTTTCCAGGACATATCACTCTATTTTTTATTGTACGTAATTCTTAGGCTGGGAGGACAGAGCCTAGTACAGCCCATGGCATCCACAAAGGAGCCTTTCTCATGTAAGTGTTAGTCAGTGAGGACTCATTTCAAATAAGCCAGATTGGAATTTTTTAGTTCAGACATAAAGACCAGATTTGGTTTGACAAAATAAGAGTAAGCTGCTGATGTTCTCTGAACCATGCTAGTCTCTTTCTAGCTTGTTGGTGTCAAAATAGCAAAGGTGAGTTTCACAGCTAACAGATGAATGAATGAATGCGGGAAGAAAGGAAGGAATAAAAATAAAGAATGAATACTCTTACCTTCAGCAATCATTTTGTCTGTCTTTGGTAAGTATGGGAACATGTTAGGGTTACTGAGAAAATCAGAAAGTGAAGCAAGGGGCTCCTCGGACAACTGTGCTCTGAGTTGGGAATGACTGGGCATTTATCCCCAGGGTCTACGCTGCTCCACCTCCCTGGGCTTTGATGGGTGAAGTCAGCAGGTGAGAATTAGCAGCATATTTGAAACCAAATACAGACCCCACAAAAGAGTTCCGTAACCCAACTCTGACCATTTTACATTTAAATCTTTACTTCAAAGGCAGAGGTACCTCTGCTGATACGCAAGCAACAGACACACACTTGGTATTTTTCAGGAGAGGATGGACCTGTCTGAGCCGCACACAAGCCCTTCCCCAGCTCCCGGAGACACTCACGCTCACTGTCGGGGGCACCTGGCCTTGGGGCCCCCATTAGACTCTGGACTTTGGAAAATGTATCACTTTAATTAACAGATTAATTAATAAATTAGTTCAGGAATATCGTTTAGCCTTAAAAAGGAAGGGAGTGTATGAGGACATTACACCGAGTGAAATAAGCCACTGACAAGAGGACAAGCACTGTATAACTCCACTTACATGAGGTTCCTAGAGTCGTCACAGTCATAAAGACAAAAAGTAGAATGGTGGGTGCCGGGGCTGGGGGACGGCAGTGGCGAGTTAGTGCTAGGTGGGGACAGAGTTTCCGTTTTGCAAAGAGTTCCGGAGATGGATGGTGGTGCTGGTTCCACAACAACATGAATGTACTTAATGCCACAGAACTGGACAACCCAAACCGGTTAATATGGTACATTTTATGTCATGTGTATTTTATCACAATAGCAACAAAATTAGTTTACCTAGTCACTCTACAAACACACACTGGATGGCTACACGTGTCAAGTTCCATGCCAAGAGCTGGGTGATGCAAAGATGGGTTACATGCAGCGCCCACCTCAGAAAGCATCACAGAAGTTTTACAAAGATCACAAACTTTGATGGGCCATTTTTGTGTATTCTTTCCTCTAAAGTTTCTTTTCCGTAGTGTGCTTCTGTATCTGGTCTCAGAAACAAATTAATTTTATAATCACTATCCAGCAGTAATAATATAAATAATAAGAAATACCTCACTCTGAAATAGTTAAGTACCGTAACTTTTAATTCCTTCACGATGAACGGGGCTGAGTGCTGTAACTGTACGGGTCAGAGATCCCCTTTAAAGCACCTCATCTCTTGCACGACTGGCGTTTGCCTGCTGTCGTTCTCAGTGTGGGAGGGGACAGGGAAGGAGTGGGGAGGTGGGCTGGGAGGGCGGGTAGGGACGAAGAGCCCTCAGTGATGAGTCCAACAGTAAAATCAATAGGTGTTGTCCACTGACTATCAATTAAGGACAATTAAGGTCTCTGGGTTTTGATTTTGATAAGCCAGCTGGCGGTTTAGTGGGAACTCACCAAATAAACAATAATTCTAGACAATTGGGTCCCTTATAATGGTTCAGGAGAGTGTTTTCAAATGAAGCATAAATGAGGACTTTGCTTTGTGTGTGGAGACAACAGGGGAGAAATGAAACCACTGGAAAGACCCAAGTAGGTGGGAAACAAAGGAACAAAACTGTCCAAAATGAGCACCTGCAGCTCGTTTCTGGAAAACGCTTGAAAGGCACTTGGTTATTTACCAACTTACTGTGGGATAGGGGTGGGAGCAGAACACAGTGTACTTTCGGATGACGCCGTTCAGCTTGAGGGGGGGAAGCCAGGACACGAAGACCAGGGAGGCCGAGGCGGCGGCTGCTTTGACGCCCGCGGGAGGACCTGGAACTAGAAGAGCCACGCGGTTAGTCACAGGCTGGAGCCGCAACACGGGTCCTGGGGCCCACGCTCCCAGCACGACCCGCTCCAGTGCCCGGCCACTGTCACTGTTCAGCTCTCCAGGGATCAGTGTTATAGGCTCAACTGTGTTTAGGCTGGAGCCGCAACACGGGTCCTGGGGCCCACGCTCCCAGCACGACCCGCTCCAGTGCCCAGCCACTGTCACTGTTCAGCTCTCCAGGGATCAGTGTTATAGGCTCAGCTGTGTTCCCCCAAATTCATATGTTGAAGCCTGAGTCCCCAGGACTTCAGAATGTGACCTTATTTGGAGATGAGGTCTTTACAGAGGCAATCAGTGTGCCTGATCCAGAATGACTGGCGTCCTTATAAAAAGGGACAATTTGGATGAGGAGACAGGGAGGTAAGATGATGTGAAGAGACACAGGAGAAGACAGCCATCAAGCCAAGGAGAGAGGCCTACAACAGACCCTTCCTCCCAGCCCTGCAGACGCCTTGATTTTGGACTTCTGGCCTCTACAACTGTGAGACAGTTGATGTCTGATGTTGAAGCCACCCAGGCTGTGGTACTTTGCTATGACAGCCCTAGGAACTAAGGCACTTAGCTCAAGTCCCTGTGTTCCTGGGGAGCCTCCCCTAGTCATTTCAGTCCCAGTGATTTCCTGTCTCTGAATAGCTGGAGAATTTAGCTCCTGGTCACTCTTGTTTCTGCTGCAGTTTTTGGCTTTGATCAGGCTGGAGATGGACATCCTGCCTCCTGAGTTAGGAACCAGCTCAGTCACTGGAGTCCTTTCTTCCTTGCTCAGAACATTTTGAGATGGCACCTCTTTTGATTCAGGAGAGTTATGGAAAAGGCTTTCATGAGTATGAGTTTTCTGTCAAGGAATCGCAGTGTGTACATATGAAAAACTCTCCCCTGTAAACCATCTGAAAAGGTAGAAAATGACGTTAACGATATTTAGCGTAACTGGGGACTGAGACTGAATGCATGGCCCTTCCTCCATTCTTTTGTTTTCCAGGTTGAAGAGGGAGGGTGGGGGAGAGACGGGCAAGGCATGGAAGAGGAAAGACCATGGAGGCTGCTGCTCAGGGAGGGCTCCGCTCAGGGAGGGCTCCGGCTCCTGCCCTCTTCTTCGTGTAATTGTCCGCAGTTCCCACCTTCATGGAGGCCTTGAAATTCAAACCAGCAGAAGCCCATCGTGAGCCCCTGGAGGAATCTGTGAGTCTCTTATTGCTCTGAAGACAATGGAACTGCTCTGTAAATATCTTTTGAGTTGAATGCATATCTCATGATTGTCATCTTGACTTTTCTAAGTCTGAATCACAAAACCAACTAATTAAGTGAGAACTAATTGGGTTGGACATAGTCACCATTTGTAAATATAATATCTTGGTATCACTTTTTGGCAAGTCCTGCTGACAGTGAAGAGCTAGAAAAGGGAGCATGTAAGTGCTAATGCCTGCATTCATAAGTCCTGATTTATCCACTCCATTGCCCTCCGTCCTGGGCACTGGCACTTAGGTTTCCCACAGCCAAGACATCCGCAGTCTGGCTCAGAGCCACAGACGCCACCTGAACAGCAAGGGTAGAGTGGACACTGGATGAAGACTTTCATCCTAGCAGACACTCTGGATTAGCCAACACTCTTCATTCCTTCTGTAAAGCAAACCACCCGGCTGGTTCTCCTCAAGCTGAACTTCCCCTTTGGCCGGCTTCTCTCTAGGGGCCCAAGTGCTTCAGCAGCAACCAGTTGAGTCTGTTTCCAACCTGTCTGTGACAATTACACTTCTCAAGGTAATGCCATAAGTTAATTCATTATGTAAACCGATGAGTTGTGAGTGCAAAAGAAAGCTGTTTCTATGACCACTAGTGGGACTTCTCTAGAAAGCCTTCCTTAAAGGTAAGTTAGAAAGAAAGAAAAAGTGAGGAAGGAAGGAAAGAAGGAAGACAAATCTCTGTTTGGTTAAGAACACAGAGGACACATGGGGCACATGGGGCACATGGAGCAAGTCAAGACAGAGCTGACTTTTATTAGCAGACAGATTGTTGGCAAACGGTGATATGTTCTCACTCTACTTTCAAGAAACTTAAGCGGGAAATTGCACATGATACATGATGAATACAGTTCATGGGATAACTGGAGAAGTCTTCTGTATTACTGAGCCAACCCTTTCAGAGTTAGAATTTAAAATTTTAGTTCTGGTTTGGAGTACACCACATCGATTAAAGGAGCAAGCTCTGGAGCTCCACTGCTGGCCCTTGTCCAACTCTACCAGTTAATTCTGTGTCCTGGGAAACATAACAAACTTCTCTAATAAGCCTTTGTTTCCTCATCTATGGATGTGGAACAATAATTATACCTGCCTGTGGTTTTACTATTAGGATTATAAGAGAAAAGTCAGCGTTCTGAAAAAATATCACCTTGGCCTGAAGTATGAAAGTCAGACAAAGTCTGACTAAATGCTCACGTGGACATGCAGTTGGGTTCACTTTTTCATCATCATTTTCTAGTCTTGGTGATCAGCCCTTGGCATGTGTGTGTGTGTTGGTGTGTGCGTGTGCATGCGTGTGTGTGTGTGTGAGTGTGAGTGTGTGTTCCCCCACCATAGCCAGATCCATCTGAGCCCCAAACTCTACAGTGTCCCCTTCCAAGCCATGTAGCAAAGTGCTGATGACATGAATTGGGTGGGCATGTCTACTCTCACACGTGCCACCCTGGCCAAGCAGTGCATGCATGCCCTTGTTCACTTCCCATGTCCACAGGACTTTGATACTTCTGGCCTTTGCTCTCACTAGAGCAGTGGTTTTCAAACATTCTTTAAAGTAGACAGATCTGTTAACCAAAATATCACGTGAGAAACCAATATATAAAACAGGCAGAAGTGGGTAGCTCTTCTTGAGGCAGGGGTGGAGTGAGCACAGAGCTCGCACTGGACCTCTCGCTCACCCCTGGGCACCTCCAAGACCTGCCTAGGAATCCTTGGGCTTTGTAGGAACCTAGCTTTAGAATCTCTGCGGTGCAGGGATTATTGAAAGCCACATGGTAGAATCTCTTCTAGGGCATCCTGGTCTGCACATTGCTGGTATACCTGCCACTGCTCAGAGCACACTGCCATAGCTGTACGGCCTGGAGTCCTGAGCAGTATTGATTGGAAGGCCTTCCAATGGTGCGTGATGCCTTCAGTGTCTGTGGACAGGCAGCACTGCTGGTGGTTATGCAAACATACACATACTCAATCCATCACCCTGACAGTCTAGCAAGGCGTGGTCACACAATCACCTGAGCACTCACACAGAGGCACACACTATCCATGCCTTCAAGGGTGTGTACTGCTGAATACATGGGTGGCCAGAGGATTCAGAAATACTCTCATGTCTGTTTATCTTGTACTCACTCTTAGCTCTACTTTCAGATGACCGCCAAAGAGATTGTTCATTCATGGTGGGGAGAGAGCAAAGATCACATATTATACCTCCTCCTGGCCTTCTTCCCACATGAAACCTTACAGAGTTATGAGCATTAGTGATGAACTCAGTAAATATTTGAAGTTAAACACAACTACCTCTATTTATACATATACAATGTTTACTTTTTCATAAAGGGATCAAGACCAAAGCTATCTTCTGCCTGCAGAATGAAAATAGCAGCTGGAAAATTAAGAGATTGCATTTAGTTTGTGCTCTCTTTCCCTATGGCCTTGCTCAGATCACAGTCCCAGCAAAGAAAACAGTATTAGGATTTTACATACATTTTAGAGGTCAGAGTTAGTTGTCTGCTGTTCAAAAACAGAGAGCCAGATCAGAAAATAATCTTTTGTGTTCTTTCAGCAATAATAGAGGTACAAGATCTCATTGATGGAGCCTTGCTGGGAAGAGAATCTAATACTGAAATGATTCTCACCAACCCTGAGAATATGACCACAGACCTGAGACTATGTCTGTGAATTGAAGACTATATCCATGACCCTGAGATCCCACGAGGTACTGGAGACTGTGCCAGTGGACCTGAGACTGTCTATGTACCTGAGCTTTTATTTAGAGACCCGAGTCTATGATCGTGGACTTGAGAATATATCTGTAAGCCTAGAAATCCTTAGATAGAGGCTGAGAAACTTCTTGAGGCACGGGAGACTTGTTCTCTAAACAAACTTTAGAGACCCGAGTCTATGATCGTGGACTTGAGAATATATCTGTAAGCCTAGAAATCCTTACATAGAAACTTCTTGAGGCACGGGAGACTTGTTCTCTAAACAAACATTTCAATTGCAAGTTATTTATTGCAAAAGTAAACTTTCTGTCTTTACTAGTGATAAAAATTCCCTTTTGAGGATGACCAGTCACCTAACAACACAATTTAAACCTCTAGGCCTCTCTTGATGCTAGTGGTTAGAGTTGGACACAGGTGACAGAATTCAGTGTTTGCTGTTAACATGTTAATCTTTCTCTATTTGCAGAAATATTAATAAACACAAAAACTACTTGTTTTCTCTCCCTATTTTTACACAATTTAATTGAAGTTGGCAGAGTAATTCAAACTGCAAAATTATAAGAATAGAAGTATACATTTACTAGAAGTATAAACAGGACCTGTAGTCTTAATTTGATTAAGCATTTTTTCCTATTATCATAGGATTAGTCATGTCCCTTCTTCCAATCAGGCACAAAATTACATTCAACCTATAACTGCTCAAATGCCTATTTATCTTATCTTAGATTTTGAGTCTACAAAAGTGTCTGGCACAGTTTCTCGCCATTTTTAAATTACTAAATTTTTCATGTGAATCTGAGAGATAAATTCATTATTACACTAGTAATTCTCTCTTTCCACCCAATCTCAGTTCTGCTTCTTTTTAAAAATGATGATTTGTCGTAAATAAATATTGGCATTCAGTTCTGCATACTCTTTGCCCCACACCACCAGCACAAGTGGAATCCTTTACCTCCTCCCTGAAGTAACTCGCACGCCCAAGGCAGGCCCTTCCACAATCAATCATATCTCCATACATTACCAGCACTGATACAAAAGCAGAGAATAATTGATTGCCAAATTAGACCTTGAGCCTTGGGGTCAAGATTCAAGATAAAACTCTATGATTTCTTAAACTGGAGGATTAATTAGAAATTGATCCAAAATTGCCAGTCAATAAGGAGTTATGGAGAGCTTTCCCTTCTTATCGGATTTCTGTATACTTTTCTGAAAAAAAATGCAGATGTCAAAATTTATGTTGCTGTTCAATTTGTCTTTAAATAACAATTCCAGTGACATGTGAGCTATTGCTTAGCAATGCAAAAGAATATTCCTTCCTCGCTCTGAAGGAGTGGAGAGCAAATCATCAAATATCTAGTGTCAGGAAGCAGCCCACTATTGTGTCAAGATAGGTGTTTTCACACATTACTTCAGTTTTTATACATTGATTCTGTGCAGTCTGATCATTACAGCAATTTTGCACATGAAGACAGTTCAGTTTAGAGAGGGTTAGGTAAGGTGCCCAAAGTCCCATGGGCAGCAGGTGACAGAACCAGCATTTACACAGCACTTTGTCTGTTACATTTCTAAAATTAAATTATGGCTGTCTTCACTCAGGGCTTGGCTTTGTAGGTATCTCTATTGACGTGTGACTTCCTAATGGCATTGCATTCTGACCTTACATTTTCCTAAATAATCCAATTTCTTTGAGCAGAACTAGCTGACACCTGCACATTCCCAGAAAAAAACCTACCTGTGTATCCTGGAAAAACTAAAGCTAGTAAGTATTAATTTGTGTGCAGACACTATAATGCAGGAAGGGCTAGAGAGGCAGTGAATATATCATGAGGGGTAGGGTGTGGGACTGCTCAAGTGAGCAGGGCCTGGTTTGTTGAGGTGAAAAGGAAGAGTAAGGCAGAAGATGGCACCTTCTGAATGTTGGAGAATCATGTCTGGGGACAGAAAGGCTGAAGGGAAGAGCCTCTCCTGGCATCGGAGCACAGTCCCTAGCTTTGCTTCCACAGGACAGATGTGGGGTGGAACAACAGCATTTTTGATATTCTATTTAGCTGAGAAGGTGGTGTAGACATCCAATCTGCCAATATGTGGGAGGGAATGAGTGCTGGGTAACAGCTCTTCTGCTCCACTCTGCCTAACCTCCTGGGGAACAGGGTTGTGGCAAGAAGAAAAAAAAGCAGCAGGGCCAGGTCAGCATAGCATGTAGGTATACTGATGTCTCTTCTCAGTGCTATCTCTGGTATAATTTGGTGCTGGAATACTTTGGAAAGGTTCCACATGGGTATCAATTGAACATCAGTTGCTCCTTCTTTGATAAGGTGGAGGCTACTTTTCTCACTACTGCTCTTCTATCTATTAGAACTTAAAGTGGTCTTCCTCAAACAGGCTTAGATAAGATTCCTTGGAGTTTTCCTTACCAATAATACAAAAATCTATTTGCTGTGTGGTGTTTGGAGGTTTGGGTAACAGTCCTGTAACCAAATCCAAATTATATGAAACAGCAAGAATTAATGGTCTGAAACAAAATGAGCAGTCATTTAAAATTTCACTAAATCATCATAAATTCTTATAAGAATTTTAAAAAAATTAACAGACGCTCTCAAATCAAGGACTTATTCTAATGTGATTCTGTTGGCATAGAATAACATGACTTAGACCAGTACATAATTTTCAAGTGGAAGGTTGGCTACAATCAGAGATTACACTAGTAGCTAAAGAACCACTAAAATTATTCTAACAGGTATGGCAAATGTTACAGCTCTGGGATTAAAACACATTTTTGTTTAAAATACTACTTGGCCAAATAAAAAAGAAGAAGAAAAATAAAAATTATAGGAGAAGAGAGAAACAATGGATACAGCAGCCAAAGGCAACATGGAGGCTGATGGTCTGAACTGATGTGGAATGTTTTGAGAGGGCAGCCCAGGTCTGCATGGAGGCAAGTCAAGAACAGCCTGGTGAACCGAAGACTGAAGGCAACCTCTCGGATCCAGCTGCTCCAGCAACTGCTTCAGCCTTGCCACTTGGCAGGACCCTTGGGTGTCCCTTGTTGTATAAGACTGGAGTTGAGCTTTCCACCCACCACCCATCCCATTTCTCACCATCCTCTTTGGTCCGGGTGAAGATCTGCTCACTTCTGACGCCGTCTCCTGCCCGGGTAAAGGCTAACACCTGGATGCTGTAGTTCGTGTATTTTTCCAGCCCATCCAGCTCCAGGGAAGGCTGTGTGGTGGTGACGTTTTTAATCTCGCCCAGCTCTGGAGGACAAGAACAAGAAGATTCAATCCCATTACTGAGCCCAACAGTGCTTGTGTTCCCACACTGTCCTTGCTGGCCGGCACTGTGTGGTGCCACCCGTCTGCCAGAGGGGCTCTGCACAGTCATTGTGTGACACTGACACCACGTGGCCATTTGGAAAAGATCATTCACACCAAACTTCCCCAGAATACAAGGCAGAAAATCGAGCCCAACAGTGCTTGTGTTCCCACACTGTCCTTGCTGGCCGGCACTGTGTGGTGCCACCCATCTGTCAGAGGGGCTCTGCACAGTCATTGTGTGACACTGACACCATGTGGCCATTTGGAAAAGATCATTCACACCAAACTTCCCCAGAATACAAGGCAGAAAATTGGTCTGGGAAACAGAGCGATTCACTCTAAGTTAAGTGTTATACACCCAGTGCCAACACCGTNTGTTTGGAGGTTTGGGTAACAGTCCTGTAACCAAATCCAAATTATATGAAACAGCAAGAATTAATGGTCTGAAACAAAATGAGCAGTCATTTAAAATTTCACTAAATCATCATAAATTCTTATAAGAATTTTAAAAAAATTAACAGACGCTCTCAAATCAAGGACTTATTCTAATGTGATTCTGTTGGCATAGAATAACATGACTTAGACCAGTACATAATTTTCAAGTGGAAGGTTGGCTACAATCAGAGATTACACTAGTAGCTAAAGAACCACTAAAATTATTCTAACAGGTATGGCAAATGTTACAGCTCTGGGATTAAAACACATTTTTGTTTAAAATACTACTTGGCCAAATAAAAAAGAAGAAGAAAAATAAAAATTATAGGAGAAGAGAGAAACAATGGATACAGCAGCCAAAGGCAACATGGAGGCTGATGGTCTGAACTGATGTGGAATGTTTTGAGAGGGCAGCCCAGGTCTGCATGGAGGCAAGTCAAGAACAGCCTGGTGAACCGAAGACTGAAGGCAACCTCTCGGATCCAGCTGCTCCAGCAACTGCTTCAGCCTTGCCACTTGGCAGGACCCTTGGGTGTCCCTTGTTGTATAAGACTGGAGTTGAGCTTTCCACCCACCACCCATCCCATTTCTCACCATCCTCTTTGGTCCGGGTGAAGATCTGCTCACTTCTGACGCCGTCTCCTGCCCGGGTAAAGGCTAACACCTGGATGCTGTAGTTCGTGTATTTTTCCAGCCCATCCAGCTCCAGGGAAGGCTGTGTGGTGGTGACGTTTTTAATCTCGCCCAGCTCTGGAGGACAAGAACAAGAAGATTCAATCCCATTACTGAGCCCAACAGTGCTTGTGTTCCCACACTGTCCTTGCTGGCCGGCACTGTGTGGTGCCACCCATCTGTCAGAGGGGCTCTGCACAGTCATTGTGTGACACTGACACCATGTGGCCATTTGGAAAAGATCATTCACACCAAACTTCCCCAGAATACAAGGCAGAAAATTGGTCTGGGAAACAGAGCGATTCACTCTAAGTTAAGTGTTATACACCCAGTGCCAACACCGTGGTGGCTGCCCTCAAGCAGTTGCTATCGGGCGTGTCCCTCAGATCACAACTCAGGAAGAAGCTGAAAACCACACACTGATCGCTCTGCAGATCCACTTCCAACTGTTCATTATGAAGCTTCTGCAAGTCAAGGTGCTTTTTTTAAAAACTAACTCTACTTTAACATACATATATTTTTAAATGTCTAGCTTCATCTCAAATACCAGAGCTAAGATGTACTATCTTAGCAAATTTCAATTCTATATTCTTGCTAACTATAGTCACCCCACTGTACATTAGAACTCCAGAATTTATCCATCTTGTATAACTGAAATTTTGTATCCTTTGAGGGAAAAAAGAAAATGGTAACTATGTGAGTTGGTGGATATGTTAATTAGCTTGTTTATGGTGATCATTTTGCAGTGGATACGTATATATCAAAACATCAAGGTGTACATCTTAAATATATACAATTTTTATTTGTCAATTATACCTTACTAAAGCTGACATAAAATATTAAATAAAATATTTAAATAAGAAAAAAAAACAAAACAAAACTCTGCGCTGAGCTGGGTGGCTCGGCAAACTCCTTTTCACCTGGCATGAACTCCTGTCAGTATCATTGCTGAAGTGACATGCCCACATGCCAGAAACTTGGTGCTAGCTAAAAATGCCTCACTTTCTGGAGTGGGATCAGCTAATAATATTCAAAGATGGAACATTATGATCCCCCATTTTGGCATATTATACATGGCAATTTGAGAAAACTTACAAATGATGTGATAAGGACTCATGGAGTGTTTGGTCCCTGGGTTTTGAAATGAGTCACCTGCATAGCTAGAGTCAGAGAATGAGTGGAGGCTGAGGACTGTCTGTCACCTGGGAAAGTGGCTGGTCATGGAACATGTGGGACCTCATGCATGCCCAATGACCAAGAGACTACCAGGTTGTGAGGGCGAGGGCCAGGGTGATTCCTTCTTGAATAGCTGGCTGTAGTCAAGGCCACCTCTGGATGCACTTAGAAAGCAGTAAGATCCATCTGTCAGTCTCTCTTGCTCCCTCTTGCCTCAGTAACAGTAGCTCACAGGCCATGCATGCTTACTTAGTTGCAACACTGTCAAAGTACAAATAGGAATTCATGTAACCAGCACAACGAACCTATTATTTGCACAACCCATTCATTTTACAGAGGAGGAAACTGAGGGAGAGAGGATCAATACCTTGTCTGAGGTCAGAGAGCCCAGCATAGTGGCTGAGAGTGTGGGCCATGGATCCAGACCACACGGCCTCACGTCCATGGTCCATGGTCTCAGCCCCTCTGCTGTGGTCACTCAGTGAGTTCATGGAAAGCAGGCTGAATGTGGAGGGACTTATGAGCAGTCGTGCTGGCCACATTACACGGGTATTTTTCCTGCTTGATTTTTTCTTCCTGTTCTTTGTCTTTCTTTTTTCTTGTCCATCCAGCACAGTGCACACAAGTCAGAGATTAACAGCCACCTATTCTGGGATTATGGTGACTGCAGAGTGTCATTTTATAATTGTTAATTTTTTTTTGTCATCAAAATGATCAAGGTTTAACTGGATACAGCATTAGGGAATTTAAAATAATGCATGAGGTAGCCAAGGCTCCTCACGCACATGCCAGGGAGTTCCTGTGGGTGGCCACTGTCAGGAGGGGAGAGGACAAAGAAGCCCCATATGGACACAGAGAGCCTGAGCCCAGCAGGAGCCCAGAGGCCTGGGGCCACCGGGAGCAGGCTGCGGATGAATTCAGCAGGCAGGACGCTTTGCTGGGGAGAAAATAGAGCGAAGACAACAGCCCTGAAGAAATAAGTGCCGAGGTCAGCAGGTGCCAGCTTTTAGAGGTCACAGTTTGGAAGTCTCAACAGATGGCTTCCCCAAACAAGAAAAATATTTGCTCACACATGCGGTCATCATGCATGCAAAAGGTCAATAATTGGTTGCCCCAGATGGATTAGAAATTCTCCCTTCTGAAGAAAGGCTCTTTCCAGATTCAATTATTTTAATTTTCCTGAACTTATATAATATAGGTCAATTAGATTAGGGTAAAAAACCCAAATGCCAATAGAAAAACTTTAAATTTAGAACTCATCAAGATTTTTTCGTCTTTGAAAACGTCTACATTGTGTCAAAGATTGCACACACACACACACACACACATGCACACACATATACCAAGAAAAATGCAACTACAGGAGGGGCTACCAGGGCAGGGCCGGGAG